GGCCGCGTGCCCGGCGCTGCGCTGCCTGCGTGACGCCTGCCGCGACGCCCGCGCCCAGCTGCACACCCTGCCCTTCGGCACCCTGGCGCTGGGCGACACCGGCACCCTCGACCGCTTCTACAACGCAGGTGAGAGGGGCACTCGCTCGGATTTTCTTCCCTGCGCTCACTGGGGACAGGGTCCACAGCCCACCCTGCTCATGCATTGCCTGGAGAAGAGCTTTGCAGCTTTGCAGCAGAAATTCCTCATTGGGAACTTCTTTTGCCCTCCTTTGCCTGCTGCGCTAGGGTAGGGAATCTCTGTGGAATGGAGGAGTGGGTGATTCCCAATATCCATCTGAGCGGGAACAAGTTCACCCTAACCCCAGATCTGCAGCTGGTGCCTGCGGCTGGGGCTGCTGCCGGCATCGGCCTCTGGGAGAAAATGATCTCCAGGGCCACGAGCCGGGCATCTCCCCACGGGGAGCAACCACCGTCCGGCTCCAGGGCTGATGTGGCCCGAGTCACTACAAAGTGTTTGGAGCAGCACCCAGCGCTGCCCCTGCTAAGAGGGGGACCCTCCTGTCCCCATGGGAGAGTGTCTGTGCCGCTGGGCTGAGCCGTCCTGCAGCCTCCGCCGCTCGCCAGCCGCAGGGCCGGGCACTCGCTTTGCTGCTCGCTTTGCTGTTGATAGTCCAGGCTGGTGGGGACACTGTCCGCCCTGTCACCCCAAAGGACAATTTGTGCCAGGCTTGGCCCTGGCGAAGGGGCTGCGCCCAGCGAGGGCTGCGGCCAGGCGGGTGTGCGGGGAAGTGAAAACACATCCCCCAAGGAAAGGGAAGTGCCGGAACACCCTGCGATGGGGAAACACTTTGCTGGGTGCGGGGACGGTCGGGACACACACGTTGGGGCAGGGGCAGGACGCCTGGGCCCTCCTGCTCCCGCCGTGCCTCGGTTTCCCTGGCCTCTGTGCTTGGCAAGGGGAGCTTCTCTCCTTGGCTTCCTGGGTGCTGGAGGGGGACGTAGAGGTGTCTGGAGCCCCCCTTCCAGTGCCCACGGCCCCGTGTCCCCCCCAGACGTGGCCGTGGTGGAGCTGAGTGACTCCAGCTGCCAGCCCTCGCTCTTCTACCACTTGGGCGTCCGCGAGAGCTTCAACATGACCCACAACGTGCTGCTGTGCGGGCACGCCGAGCTGCCCGCCCTGCAGGCCCTGCAGGTGCGCGGGGGACAGGGACAGCGACGGCCCCGCCGCCCGCCCCGTCCCCACGTGCCCTGCGCGGCCCCCGTGCGCAGCCCCCGTGGCTCTCGCCCCGCTCCTCCCCACGCCAGGTTCCCGCAGCCGCATCCAGCATCGGCTGAGACGTCCCTGGAAAACAGGCACCAGGGAGCAAAGGGACAGCCGGGGATGGAGACCTGGAGCATGGCCACGAGGCACAGGATGCTCCCGTGGCTCCGATCAGCCTGGCATTCGGGGATAGGGGCTTTATTCCTGGGAGAAGCCGATGCCTCGGAGCTGAAAGCCTTCATGGGAAGGGGCTGGCAGCGGGAAGGCTCCAGTGCTGGAGCCTGGAAGCAGCTGGTTCCTCTCCCTGTGCTGCAGAGCTGTCTCAAACCCTCCTCCCTCTCTCCCGCAGGAGGACATCTGCCAGAAGAACTCGGTACGTCCCTCTCCCTTGTCCCTGCTGCCCTCAGCCTGCTGCCCTGGTGGGGAAGGGGGAGGTCTGGGCTCTGGGCCCCCGGCTTTGCATAGGGAGCGCAAAGCCTGGCCCCCAAAGCTGGACAGGGGTCCCTGCTTGCTCAGGGGGAGCACCTGGGACCAGCAGCACTGCAGAGGCATCGGCTTTTTACAAGTTCCTGGGGTGTTCACTCTGGAGCATAATGACGGCAGTCAGGGAAACATTAGTGAGAACTTCCTTGCTCCTGAATTTTGGAGGAGAGCGCAGGGGTGGCTGTGTTAACGTGCTCGAGGCTGTATGGGTTTGGAGAGAGGGGGCTGTTCCACGGGACGAGCGGAGGGGCTCTCTGCTCCCACGCGTCCCGCCGTCCCGCAGGACCTGTGCGGCACCTACACCTTCATCCCCTACGTGGTGACGCCCCAGAACACGGTGCTCTGCTGCGATGCCGGTGCCATGAAGTGCCTGGCAGAGCTTTTCCAGCCCGGCTTCAGCGCAGAAGGCTTCTTCACCCCGCTGGCCGGCCGCCTGGCCAAGCTCCTCGAGGGGATCCCCACCAACTCCTGGTACCGCTGCCGTCCCCGGGGACAGGAGCATTGCTCCCGGGGAAGGCAGGGCCACATCTGCACCCCGATGGGCTGGCTCGTGCCCTGCGGGGTCCCCACTGCGGGAACGGGGTGCTCAGGCCCTGCGCCTCTGCCCCCCTCCATCAGCGGCTACTTTCGGGAGACGATCCGGCGCGACATCCGCCGGGCGCGGGAGCTGTACCGGGGCGAGCAGCTCAGCCGGGAGCTGGCCCGCATCCAGCAGCGCCTGGACAGCGTGGAGCTGCTCAGCCTCGACATCGTCATCAGCCTCCTGCTGTCCTACCGCGACGTGCAGGTTAGTGGGGGACGCGCCGGCGCCCCGGGCGGGCAGCAGCCCCCGGGCAGCCGCGCGCGCCGCCCTCGTCCCGCAGGACTACGATGCCATCGTCGCGCTGGTGGAGACGCTGCAGGCGCTGCCCACGTGCGACGTGGCCGAGCAGCACAACGTGCGCTTCCACTACGCCTTCGCGCTCAGCCGGTGAGCGAGGCCCCGGGCGCTGTGCCATGGGTGCTCCCCGGGGGCCCCTTCCCGAGCGCTCCCCGTCCGTGGGTGCAGGCGCAACCGGCCCGGCGACCGGGAGAAGGCCCTATCGGTGCTGCTGCCCGCGCTGGAGCGGCGCGAGGCGGCTGCGCCCGACCTGCTCTGCCTCTGCGGCCGCATCTACAAGGACATGTTCATCAGCTCGGGCTTCCGCGACGCCGACACCAGGGACCGGGCTTTCCACTGGTGAGGCCTGGGCAACGCGTCTGCCCCACGTTCGTGTCCTGCGCGTGATGTTAATTCCTGTGGAGATCCCGCCAGGCCTTCGTTTGGGAGCATTTCTGTGCCCCCGGGGCTGGTGCCTCACGGTGCCCGGTGGCGGCGTGGCCACCACCGATGCCCGACGCCTCTTGCAGGTACAGCAAAGCCTTCGAGGTGGAGCCGAGCCTGCACGCGGGCATCAACGCCGCCGTGCTGCTGGTGGCAGCCGGGCACCGCTTCGAGAGCTCGCCGCAGTTCCGGCAGATAGGTGCCCGCGGGCGGCGAGGTCGGGGACACCTCGGCAGGTGAGCCGGGCTGGCACCGACGGCGCTCCCTGCGCGCAGGCGTGAAGCTCAACTGCCTGCAGGGCCGCAAGGGCAGCCTGGAGAAGCTGCACCACTACTGGGACGTGGGCTTCTGCCTCGGCGCCGGCGTCCTGGCCAATGACCTGCCCAAGGTCATCCAGGCCGCCGAGAAGCTCTACAAGCTGAACGCGCCGGGCTGGTGAGCGGCGGCGCCGCGCGCCCATGTCCCCAAGGGCACTTTTAGAGGGCATCTTTCTTCACACGGTCTGTGCCCACAGGTACCTGGTGTCCGTCATGGAGACATTCCTGCTCTACCAGCACTTCCAGCAGCGCCCGCAGGCGCCGTGCGCCCATCAGGAGCTGGCCGACTTCTGGCTGGGCTTCCTCCTCGAGGGCTGCCGGCCGCCGGGCCCCTCGCCGCGCTGCCCGGCAAGTCCAAGGGGCCCTGGAGCGCCGGGCGCTTTGGGGGCGCTGGGCCCGCGGCGAGCGCTGTCCCGTCCGTGGCGCAGGTCTTGGTGCTGGCGCTCAGCAAGGTGCTGCAGCCGGCGCAGGTGTCGGTGCGGAGCGGCGCGGCGGAGCCGGCGGTGATGCTCAGCCTCGTGCAGCCCCCGGACGAGGTGGCACCGGGGCCGGCCGGGCCGGGGGTGCCCGCGCCCGCCCCCCCTCACCGGTGCCCTTTCCCAGCACAGACGGCCGCGTCGAGCTGGACCTTCGCGCCCGCTGCCATCCGCGGCATCAGGTGAGCTGGGAGCCGGGACCCCCCGGCCGGGCTGGCCGAGGCGGCACCGGGACACCGTGGGGGCTCCTCATCCCCAGCATCTGCAAGCGCGACGAGCGCGGCTGCTTCCTCTACGTGACGCACGCCGCCGAGGATTTCCAGCTCTACTTCCCGTCCCAGCAGCACTGCCGCTGGTGAGCGGGGGCACCACTGTGCAGGGGTGCAGGGCCCCCCACTGCCGATTTGGGCAGATTTGGGCTCCTCGAGACCCCCAAGCGGGGTGGCACCGGCACCCGAGGGAGGTGGGCCGGGGTGGCGGCACCCGGGCGCTCGGGACGCGCTGTCCTGCCCCGCGCAGGTTCTGCGACCTGGTGCAGTCCTTGCTGGCCGAGCAGGCGGCAGGCGCCGAGGAGCTGCCCAGTCCCACACAGCCCGTCCTGGAGGTGAGGGGGGCAAAACGGGGGCACCGGGGTGCGCAACGGGACACAACACGGGGACACAGGGCAGCACAACAGGGCACAACGTGGGGACACGGGGGGACACAACGGGACACAACACAGGGACATCGCGGGCACAGCAGGGCACAACGTGGGGACACGGGGGGACACAACGGGACACAACGCAGGGACACGGGCAGCCCGGCTCGCGCCGCCCGCCTCTCCCTGCAGTACAGCTATGAGTACTCGGAGACGGGCGAGCGCGTCGTGCTGGGCCGGGGCACCTACGGGGTGGTCTACGCCGGGCGCTGCCTCAGCAACCAAGTGCGCATCGCCATCAAGGAGATCCCGGAGCGCGACAGCCGGTGGGTGCCCGCGGCCGCGTGCCCGGCGGGGCCGGCACCCCCCTGGTGACCCCGCCGTGCAGCTTCTCGCAGCCCTTGCACGAGGAGATCGCCTTGCACAAGCACCTGCGGCACAGGAACATCGTGCAGTACCTGGGCTCCGTCAGCCAGGGCGGCTTCATCAAGATCTTCATGGAGGAGGTGCCGGGAGGTGGGCAGAGCCAGGGTGCCGCGGGGACGGGCACGGGGACAGCCAGGGGCGGTTGTGGCATTGCAGGTGATCGCCCTGCTCCGCGTGCCCTGTGCCAGGGACAGTGGCTGCGGTGCAGGCGCGAGGGTGGTGGCCTCGTGTGGTCTGTGGTGGCCTCACATGGCCCAAGGTGGCCTCACGTGGATGTGATGCCCTCCCCAGGGAGCCTCTCATCCCTGCTGCGCTCCAAGTGGGGCCCCCTCAAGGACAACGAACCCACCATCATCTTCTACACCCGCCAGATCCTCGACGGGCTCAGTTACCTTCACGATAACCACATCGTGCACCGAGACATCAAGGTGGCAGCGCGGCCACCCCCCGGCAGCCTCCATGAGCCCTGCGGGCTCTCTGGCTGGGCCCGCTGCTTCATTTCAGGGTGTCCTTTGTACCCCAGGGAGACAACGTCCTCATCAACACGTACAGCGGGGTGCTGAAGATCTCTGACTTTGGCACCTCCAAACGGCTGGCGGGCATCAGCCCCAGCGCCGAGACCTTCACAGGTAGGAGCATCCCGAGGCCGGTACCCACGGCGGGGGCAGGAGCAAGGGAGGATGCTGAGGGCAAGGAGATGCTGGCTGCTGGCTCCTTCATCCCTCCTCATCTTCCTCCCAGGCACCCTGCAGTACATGGCCCCCGAAATCATCGACCAAGGGCCGTGGGGCTACGGGAAGCCAGCAGATATCTGGTCGCTGGGTTGCACCATCATCGAGATGGCCACAGGGATGCCGCCTTTCTACGAGCTGGGCAGCCCCCAGGCCGCAATGTTCAAGGTACCGACACCAGTACGGATTCACCATCCCCGGGGGGACGGTCCCTTTGCCACCCCCGCATGCCTCTCCCGCAGGTGGGCATGTTCAAGATGCACCCCGAGGTGCCCGAGTCCATGTCAGACAAGGCCAAGACCTTCATCCTCCGCTGCTTCGAGGCCGACCCAGCCAAGCGGGCGACAGCGGCCGCGTTGCTGCAGGAGCCTTTCCTGGCCCCGGCGGGCGCCAGGAGGAGCCGGGGCCAGGGCGGGCCGGCGGCGGGGGGCAGCGCGGCCGCCGCAGCGGGTGAGCCCCCGAGCGCAGCCAGCCGGGACGGGGCCCCTCGCTGCCCCCCGACTGGCTGCATCTCCATCATCTCCCGGCAGGAGATTCCCTGCGGGATGGGCAGCCGTGTGGGGAGCCAGCGGGCACCGAGGGGGCGCAGGGACATCCCTCGGCCATGCAGGGTGCCCAGGCGGTGGGCACAGCAGGCAGCCCCCCACGCTGCTCCAGCGATGTCACCTCCAGCCACAGCTCTTTGGGGTAGGGCATCCGTGCGTCGGGCAGGGCTGCCTTTCCATCCCCATCCCCATCCCCAAGGCATCTTGCGCTGCCCCATGGCTGTGCATCCAGCCTGGTGGCAGCGTGGTGATGCTCCTGGGTACCCTTGGCTGTGCTCGGTGCCTCCTGGTTTGGTCGCCCCTCTGCTGGCACTTGGGGCTGTGGGGGAGCCAGGCGGGTGCCCAGGAGGGGCTGTCCCTGTCCCCCCCAGAGGGGCCGTGCTCTGCGTGGGGCAGTGCCAGCTCTGCCCGTGCCCCAGGGCTCCGGAGGACGGGCCGGGCTCCGACCGCAGCGTGCGCTCGTCGTCCCCGGAGGAGAGCGGGGCGCTCTTCCTGCTGCGCAAGGACAGCAAGCGCCGCGCCACGCTGCAGCGCGTCCTCGCCGCCGAGGCGCCCGCCATCGCCGCCGCGCTGCGCCAGGGCCAGGTGGGCGCCCGGCCGCGCGGGAACGGGGCCGGCACGGCCGGAGCCGCGTCCTGAGCCGTGGCCTGGCCGCACAGGGCGCCGAGGGCCCGCGCCTGGCCACAGAGCACGTCCTGCAGCTGCTGAGCTGCCTGCGGGGCTACATCCAGCGGCGCAGCCAGCAGCGGCTGCGCCGGGAGCTGCTGGCGCTGGGCGGCCGCCTGCGTGCGGCCGGGCTCGGCCTCCGCCACCTGCACGCGCCCCTCGGCAGCTTCCCGGCCGTGGTGAGTGCCCCGGCCACGTCCCTTGCTGTGACACCCCAGCAAGCCATGGGGTTTGGGGGTTGCACTGTCCTGGTCCCGGTGCCTTGGCCACGTCCCTTGCTGTGGCACCCGGGCAAGCCATGGGCTTTGTGCTCCCCTGGTCCCTGTGCCCTCCCTAGGTGAGGCAGGTCCTGCACCGGCACCGCGTCAAGCCCCACTGGATGTTTGCGCTGGATGATGCCGTTAGCCACGCGGTGCAGGCAGCGTTCCGGGTGCTCGTGCAAGGTGAGGGGTGCCGGGGCTGGCACATGCGTTCGTGTCCCCACAGGGTGCATGGAACAAGGTGGAGGTCACCCCTGCGTTGGGACGGTGGCAAGTTGGGGAGTGATGTGGTGGGAAGGGGACTGAGGGAGTCCAAAGCGCCAGGCTGGGCCTGCTGCCATCGGGCTCCTCTTTTCCCATTTCTCCTGTTTCCTCTGCCCCACAGAGCTGGGGACAACGGCCAGCTGCCTGGGGGAAGATGGCACTAAGGCCATGGGTGACGAGGACAACCCTGTGCCACCAAGCCCCAGGACGCATCCCCAGCAGGACAGCACCAACGTGGGGCCGAGCAGCATGTCCAGCACCCAGAGCGGTGCCACGTCCTCTCCGCAGGGCTCCTCGGCACTGGTGGCCCAGCTCCGCCACCTCCGCCTGGAGACGGGCAGGTAGGGAGCGCTGGGGACCTCGCTGCTGGGCCCAGGGGCACCCATGGGTGCTAGTGCCTGCCCCGCTCTGCCCCAGGCTGCGGCGGGAGCTGGCGGCCAAGGAGCACGAGTGGCAGAGGCTGCTGCAGCAGGCGCTCGGCCCTGCGCGCGGGGCTCCCCCGGCCCCGCAGCAGCCTCGCGGGGACCCCGGCGGGACCGCGGGAGAGGCCACCGCTGCGGGCCAGGACCCCCT